AAACAAAGCTGCGAGCGAGGGTATTTATCCTGCTTCATCTTAATTCTCAGTACGGATCTACACCAGAGAGCACCCGGGTGGTAATCTGGACACGCAACACAACACACAAACCGTCAGGATTAGGAATATCTCCAATCCAAAGCGGGATTATGCAATGAAAGTCTGTTTGTTCCCAAAGAGGGAACAAAGAGGGACTCTATGAGCTCTGAGCATCAAACACAGTTATCGTTTTACTTCTCATTTCCTGTCTGTCACCAAAAGCATGAACGTACAGCAGTGTGGTCCCATAAAGACAAACATGCTGCCTTTGTTGGTGTTTTAGCTCCATAAAAAAAAGCATCTGGCGTTTGCAGCTGTGGCTTCGCTTCACACTCAATTAACTTTATTTATTAAAGCTAAGAAGCTTCTTCTGAACAGCCATTAAATCAGACATCACAGCCCCCCTACAGTCTGATCAGAAAACCACACACTGGCTGGTTTGGAAACTTGGTCCAGTTAGTAAATCAAAGAGGCGACAAACGCCAGAAAGCTTTCCCCTTTCCACCCCCTTCAAGGTGATACAGTCGTCCATTTGTGTTCACTCTTATAGCTCACCCATAAAGTCACTACTCCTGTCATTTTGAGGAGTTTTATGTAAATGTGAAAGCTCTTTAGCCTTGAAAAACTGGCAAAACATAAGCAAAGGTTCCACACGTTTCTCTCACTGTTATAACCTCTCATCTGGGACGGCTCACTGAGTGAAGAGGACTGCGTCCCAGACTGTGAGTCTGAATGTGGGTTAACCAGTTGAATAATTCAGTAAGGTGGAGGATGGAGGTCGAGAGTGGTACAGACGGCCAGTGACACAGTTAAAGGAAAACGAGGACAGTGGTGGATTCAACACCGGCGTTCAGTCTGCTCCTGATGACGTGAACATTTTCATTTAGGGTACCAACATTTTAAAAGAATGACATGTTCCACATAAATAAATCATAAATCCAGTCTCTCCTGTGTAAATGTGTCTCTGAGTCCTGACTGTCTACAATGAGGGAGAAGCTCGAGTCCCGCTGGCTGTGTTGTTGTCAGAGCCGTGTTTACATGGACGGGACGGGCGGCTCCTCCCCTTGTGTAGAAAAGCTGTTTTAGTCAAGAACTAGAGAGAAGAAGAAGAACATACTCACTGATTATTTGAATGTTAGTAAGAGTTTTTAGATCGCTCATTCTGTGTCAGTTTACATGCAATGTGAAGCTACAAGCTAACTAAAAGAGCGCTAACTTTAGCATGCTAACACAACAATGCAGCTCGAGCAAAGGACAACTTTGGCCTCAGCTTGCAGAAAACTCCTTTGTGTGATCGGGAGTGGAGAGAGGTTGGAGGATAATGAAGTTAAAAAGATGAAACTCTCGTCGTGTCTGTGGTCTCACACCGTACAATTTGAAAATCATCAAGTGTGCAGCCAGCCTCAGTTGTAAAAATGTTCCTTCTATAAACATGAGCACCTCTGTGTCGCTGAAGACCTCCCACACGTGGATCCTGATGTTTCAGATGTTTACACTGATCTTTGAGACGCTACATTCAACTTCAAACCTGTCATCTGTGATTTGATGCATCATTACTTCAAGATGACTGTAAAAAAGTAAAAAATCTCAGCGTTTGAGGTCGGCTGCAGACGCTCAAGCAGAGAGGTTACAGAAATATGAGCCGTCATCTGGAGCATATGGCTGCATGTGGTCAGCGCTCTAAATCACAGAGCGGCTCTGGCTGCAGTCCCAGTAAGAAGGGTGGAGGCCCAAACTGGGAGAGAGCAGGGCGACTGGACTGTACCTGACCGACGGAGAGGGTGTCCTGAGGACGCCTGAAGCTAAAGATCACTGAACCTCGAGTGGAGTCAGAAATACATGAAGCAGACCACATCGCATAGGGGACAAGTGGGAGCTGGACTTTCTGCCGATGTAGTTCAAGCTCAGATGTGAAATCCAACCATTGACATTTTTTTGTTCAATGCTGTTTTTAAAGGGATGTAGAATGATAATAACACAGAAATAGACCTCAGTGTTTCCCCTACCATTATATTGGGGGGACGGCCTTCTTTTTTTAAAGATTTTCTTTGGGGGCTTTTTGTGCCTTTATTGTAGAGATAGGATAGTGGATAGAGTCGGAAATCAGGGAAAGAAGTCATTTAAGGATACCTTTCCAATAGAAAAGGACAGCTGTCATTAAAAGTAACACATGAACACCAAGATTCCTTCAAGTCGCCGTGTCGGCTTGTCCCCACCCCCCCAACGCTGTAAACCTAGGGGAAACACTGCACCTTTTTATGTCGATTAAGCTTTGGTAAGACTTTGTAAAGGTACTCAGAGGACTCTTCTTTTACGCCCTGATTCCACCGAGCGGTCCTGAGTCTTAATAAGGGGACATTAAATTTAGCGTCTGCTACCTAGTATACTTCTATTTGCTCTGATTAAACCCATTGTTCTCATTTGTCTACACTTTTTTGTCCCAGCTAGAAGCAGCACCAAGGTTGTTTGATTGATGTAACTCTTGTGGGGCTAATTGTCTCGAGCAGGAGTTAATAAAAGTGATGTTACTCCAGGAAAACGAGATTCGATTATCCTGGTGATGTAACTGAAATGCACATTAGTTATCTGGCCTGAAGAACAAACAACAAACCAAATAAAATATCAACTCCATAGTCACTGCTTTGTGTATCTAAAATGTGAAAATCGTCCAAACCCTTCAGGGGTGAGGGTAAAAGCACTGATACTACAAAGAAAGAAAAACAGATGTTAACTAGCAGCTGCCTGCTAGCTGTAGCTAACGTTAGCCTTAGTAACACAGCACTTAGAGTAGCCTACTCTGTACTTCTTCATCCCCATTCTCCTCCATATTCTGCACCAGATGTCTCGACAACTAGCCATTAGCAGTTTGTGATTCAGTTTAATGGACTTTAACCATTTCCCCTCTCTCCCTCAATTATGTTATGTGCCCCGTTTACAGAGGCTATAGTCCTCGTTGCCGCGGCCGTAGGGTCTAATCCAACGTCGGCCTTTTGCTGAATGTCGTCCCGCACTCTCTGTCTCGCTAGTAAGCAGGAAAACAGATTTCCTGATAACTAGCAGCTGCCTGCTAGCTGTAGCTAACGTTAGCCTTAGAAACGCTTTGATTTGTTTCCCCCGGTTACGAAGTGAGTGACATGCCCCCTGCACACAAGATGATGATTTCCTTTTGAGGTGCTTTAAGAACATTTAGGAACATTTTTCCAGCCAAATGTAAGCTTATTTTTTTGCAAATATCCGAGCAGCACCAGCAGCTTTGTGTTTTCTTGGCTCAGGACTGCTGCTGTAAATGTATTTTTAGACGTCAGAAATACTGTTGGAGCAACTTCAGTGTGTTTTCTTTGCAGCAGCAGCAGCAGCAGCAAGCAGCAACAGCAAGCAGCAGCTTTGTGTTTTCTTGGCTCAGGACTGCTGCTGTAAATGTATTTTTAGACGACAGAAATACTGTTGGAGCAACTTCAGTGTGTTTTCTTTGCAGCAGCAGCAGCAGCAGCAGCAGCAGCAGCAGCAGCAGCAGCAGGCCTGAGAGCTGCTGTTGTCTCTGTGGGCTCATGTAGAGAATAACTGTTCCGACTGATGGGGATGCTGTTTCAGTCTGCTGACGGTTCAGACCCGTCACACAGAGACCCTGACCCCCAATGACAGCTCAAATCGTCTTTTTTTTTGGTCTGATGGTAAACAAACCCCTCAGCTCAGCCTCCCGTCGGGACGCGCAGCGCTCCGAGCTGCAGCCTCACGCGAGATCCTTTTTTTTTTTTTATTCTAACGAGAATAATAAACAAAAGCAGCACCAACATGAGAACAAACAGGGAGTGTGATTACCTTGTTTCTCGGGGGTATTTCTGCGCTATCCGTGCAGTAACCCAGCTCCGGTTCCTCTGGGCATTCTCCGGTGAAAGTGCAGCTCCAGCAGAACAAAACCACCGGGATGACAACAAAAGCCTACCGCCGTCAATCCATAGGTTACCGTCAGACAGCGCGCGCATACACTCTCCCTCTCTCTCTCTCTGACACACACACATATACACACACATACACACGCACACTCTCACTCACACACACACACACACAGAGCGTGCAGCAGACGTACGACACGGAGCAGACCCTGGTCCTGGATCCGAAGGAGGCGCACTGAGCAGGCGCCGCAGCGTGGCACCAAAAACAAGCCGAGTGAGAGCCGTGAGGTCCGGCCTTAAAGACACAGGAGCGCTGCCTCCCCGTCACAAAACACGCTGCTGCCTCCATCTGCTGGACACACACGGTACTGCAGGGAGGCGACAAAGCTTGCAGAAGTAAACCTGCAGGAGGGACTTAAAATACTTACATCATGCAGCAAAAACACTCCTGTGTGGATGTTTGTTAAATATATTATTATAGAGATTTGTATTTATTTCTATTTCCTGTGTATATTTTGAAGTTTTCATTATCTCTTCAACGACATCCTTTATGAATGTGTTTTAATTTACGTTTGTTGAACAGCTAATTTCACTTCCTGTCAGTACCTGAGTGTCTGATCAGACTTCAAGCTGTTTGTTCTCACTTCCTGACGTTGTCTCCTCCTCTCTACGTCCTCTCTTGTGTTGTTCTTACTCTCTGATGTTCATCACTTTTGATAAAAGTGTCTGAAAAACAAATTGTTTTTAAAGGATCTCAGTGGTTTTTGTAATTGATTTTAAGTGTCGTTGTTTTTGCTTGTTTTACTGTGCTTGTCATCTCGACGCCGTTGGAAATGTGGGAAACCTCGGTGTTGTTTCGAGGGTAAATAAAGATGAACGAGTTAATTTGGGACCTTCATTACGCTTTAATGCTGACAGTCCTCACATAGCCATATACATGTAGATAGGATTACTTTTTGAAAAAACTGTTAAGAAAAATGTTTTTTTTGCATTAAAGTAAATCCTAAAGTTTTCCTGTAAAGAAAAGAAAAATTTACTTTAATTAGAATCAAAATGAAACACACATCATCATCAAGTGGTTTTGATTTATTGGGCGTATAAAAAGTAATCAAATCGAGCAGGATGCGTCAGAAAAGAATCGCTGTTAGCTAACGATACAGAAATAAAAATCAAGCTTACAGTGAGGTTACAGTCAACAACATGAACACGGCAAAACTGAGCGTGACAAAGTTTGGCGAAATCGTTCAACAAAAAGCTTCAACACAGCGAGAATAAAAATGTAAAAAAAAAAAAACATATCAAACGATGAAATATACGAGAAATCAAAAGTGTTCACAGGAAAGTGCAAAAGTGTCGAGCGTGAGTGCAAAGAGCAGACTTCACAGGTTTACGTCACAAACACAAACGTCATCATCCCGCTGTGATGACTCTTTTTTTTTTTAAACGTCACTTCATCATTTTCCTGAATTTAAAATCTCCGTCGACGTCTTTTTGGCACCGAACGTTTGTGAATCAGGAAGGAGTGAAAACCTGCTCGTTTATCTGATACTTTGTAAAGTCCCTCATTTCATCCTCTGCCTGAAACAGTTAGTTTCAAACGCTGTCTCTTTAAGCCCCGCCCCCTCCCCACCTGCACACTTTCCTCTGATTGGCTCTCTGGCCCAAGCCCCCCAGGAAGTGCACCGACAGTAGAAGCCTGTTTTACATAGTGGCCGAACCCGGTATTGCAGCGTCACATGATGCTATCAGCCCAAAAAGACTTTTCCCCTTATATTGCTAAAGAGCTTACACTGACGTTCAGAAATCATCCGATATGTTTGTTTTTAAAGGTCCATCATCATCAAAACCAAATTTTGTCGCCATAATGAACGCAGGTCTGCAACTCCAACTTCAAGTGCTGCTGGGAAATGTATTCAGTGACCTTTGTGGTGACGTCATGACATTGCTCTTTTGCCCCCCTTGCCCGTGGAAAAGCAAACCTGTTCTTATAGAATGGATTCTATAAGACATGGCCGAACGCTGCAGGGCTGCCAGTTAGACGGCTGCTCTCCAGTGCTGGGAGAAGAGAAGCCGTCTGGGGAAATTCTTATACTGCCTGATGTGCAGAACAAGTCGTCTAGCGCCCTCTGCAGACTCACCCTGGGATTACTCCAACATAAGTTTACTTCCCGATCTGAAACTCCGCCCACGTTTAGTCTGAGCATGCAGCATGGTGACACTACATGAGAGTTTTTAAACAAAGTCTGCAGCAGAGCGGAGAGTGTTGAACATTTCTGGTTAATAAAACATCTTGCTTTCACTACGCGCTCTCTCTCTCTGTGCAGGGATCTTTTGTTCATTCATCAATCTGAGAACAAGAATTTACAGTAAATGGATTTGCCCCCCCCCCCGTCTTTGTCGCTCAATCCCACTTCAGTTACCATTCGTCACTCTTCACGCCACAGTTTCTTCTACTCTTGATTGCTCAGTCGAACACTTGGCTCTACATGTCGCCCTTCAACATCCTGCAGTCTGAACTAATTCCCAGTTTGAGGTTCAGTCACTTCTGCGCTGTTGGAGCCAGAAACCTCCAGCTCCTTAAAGGGACAGTACACCTTAACTCACAGAAGACCTCACACCTCTGTAGGGAAACCAAACACACACACACACACACACACACTGATGGTTTATGTTTCTGCATAAGTGTAAGCAGTGAGGTTCACTTATATCTTTTTGGCAACATTTGAAGACTTAATAATACTGTTAAAAAACATTCAAGTCCATGAAGTCCTGCAACATAAAAATAAAGCTATGATGAAATCCTACGCTCCCCTCTGATGTGTTTTGTAAGCCACAGTCCGTCCCCTCGGCTCGAGCTGGGAGTGACAAAGCGGTGATTTAAAGCGTGATGAATATAAAATAAGCTTCTCAAAATGTTGGATGCTTGGAAACTCTTTCGACACCATGTGTTTCAAAATGAAACCAACTCGAGTATTTAAATGATTGATGGTTTTAAACTTTTTAAAAACAGTAGCTCAGTCTGTAATGACTTGGTCTGGGCTCCTTTATTTTGTGCCTCTAGGACTTCTGTTTTGGTTGCCGTGGTATCAAAAGCAGGTGTTGATATAGTTTGATTTTTATGAGTATCATATCAAAGTGGTATCATGATAACCCTAACGTGGATCAAAGTGTTCACATGAAGGCTGTGGTCAGTTTATCCAGGCGTAGGCGTACAGACCGTTCTCCTTCCACAGCCGACACCGAGCATCAGAGTAGTTGTGCACCACCGACAGGCTGTCCGTCAGGATGGCAGTGGCCGGGTACTCCAGCCACTCGTCCACCATCTTACCTGGAAGACAGAGAAGAGGCGTCATCGCTCATAAGTCGCAGCCACAGACTTGTTAAAAGTGGACGCAGCCGCTAAGTTTTCAAAAATGGGGAAAAGGCTGCGGTGTCTAAAACCTGCATTCTTTCTGATGGCCAGCAGGGGGCAACGGCTCTGGTTGTAAAACTAGATCAGATGTCACAAACATTAACATATTTAACGAGCCTGCTCCACACTTAGACATTTTAAAATATCACAGACGACAAATAATGATGCACAAGGCAGCGTGACCACCTCGCCAGAGAAGCGCTGACTGTGCGCCCCGGGCGTGTTTGCATGAAGCGCTGAGAAGAAAAACGCTGCTTTGATCTCAAATATGAAACATGCAGTAAAAAGTAACGGAGCGCTGTCGGTCATACAGCGGCCATTTTCAAAAGACTGTTGCACAAACGCTTCATCCGATGGCGTCAGAGCGCTCAGTCAGCGCTTTTCTGAAAGGTGTACACGGGGTCTTACAACGCCCTCACCCAACCCTCAAACAGGGTCATCTTTGTTTCCAGATTACCAACATGGCGGTGGTTAAAAAGCCAAACCAAGCTCCAAAAAGCCCGTCACAAACAGTGAGTGACACTATCGCTAACACACACCGCGAGACCGGAGGCGTCCTCACCTGTTTTGGCGAAGTTGACGAGGTGGCGTGTGATCAGGTCCTGGAATCTTTTGTCTCCGTCAGAGAGCGGTTTCCCCAAGGCGACCTCCAGCCCTCCGAAGAACGCCATGATGTCCAGACAGTGGAAGGAGAAGCGGCTGGGGAACTTCAGCAGGTTGCCGGACGTGTTGGCGGGTCCTGACGGCGTGTAGGTCACCACGTATCGATACACGGGGCTGTCGAGGGCCGCTGCAAAAAAAAACAAACTGAGATCTTAACTGAGTTTGGAACATTTCTCAGTGAGCGTGGACAACGCTGCTGTTTTCAAAGAGGAACACAAAACATCAGCAGCCTTTTCTGCAGCTTTGCTGAATTCACTGAACGTCTGAGTCATGCTGTTTGAGAAGCGTTATTTATTATTCAGTAAACAGAACATTTGGATATTTTTTTCCTGGTAATGATATTCGTCATTCATGCATCATCATCCCCGATTGGCCGTTTTTCTGCAACAGAATAAAAAACTGCCGGCGTGAAAAAAAAAAAAAAAAAAGCCAATGAAGCATGAAGTAAAAATCACCCAGGATGCCCTGCAGTTTCCTCTCTCTGCAGCTAAATGTCAGTTCACTCAGAGCTTCACCGCTGAGTGAGCGTAACAAGCCCCACAGGCACAAAACCAACATGAAGCACAAATAAACTGCAGAGCAAACGCACGGAGGAGACGGCCCAGAGACTTTCTGTTGGGAGAAAAAAACTCGTAACCAACTCTGGTGCTCTGATACGAGGATGCACCGCATGGAGGCAGCGAAGAACTTTTAGCTGTGCAACATTTTACAACACGAGTTCTTTACTTTACTTTCTATTTAAGGAGACGAGCAGCAGATATGAAGGAGTGTTCCTGGTGTTTACCTGCAGCCCTCAAGGCCAGGTGGTTGTTAGGACAGGTGGTCCTGATGTCGGACGCCATGGTGGTGTAGGCCCTCTCCGGACAGCGGTCTGTGGTGGGGCATAAGGTGGAGCTCGGGTACAGCGCCAACGCGTCTTTGGCGAGACCCTCAGAGAAGGTTTTAAGTCTCTCTGTGTGCAGCAGAGAAGTGTGACTTTAAAATACAGGGCTAGCAAACCTTCACATTATGTTTAGAGGTCACTAAAAACAAAAAACAAAAAAGTTTCTGAATTGCTCCAGTAGATCACTTAAAGCAACAGTAGGGAAACAGGCTGTAATGGCCGTGATCTAATCCTCGAGTCTGATTAAATTACCTGAACAAAAAGTGCTCGTTTAAGGCCCCGTGTCCACCTAGCGTTTTTTTCTGGGTATGGAGCGTCGCACGTCCGTCTCTGTCTCTATGACCACAGACACTTTTTACTGCATGTTTAATATCTGAGATCGTTTATTTCCTGATCAGACACGGAGCGAGGAGGATGAGGGTACAAGACACGATCAGTGGGAGGCAAAACTACGGGGAACATCAAACGTTTGGAAAATGTATGCTCAGAAAAAAAAATGCTAGGTGGACACGGGGCCTGAATCACTGTTTGGCACAGATTAATAATCTAAGTGTCTGAAGACGTTAAAGAAATGATCCCTATAAAGAGATCTCGTGAAATATCAAGATGCTTGGGGTTAGTACGCGCACCCCATGTATGGAGGCTGTAGTCCTCCAAGCGGGCGGCCCAGGTTCATTCCAGACTCTCTCTCTCCCTGATTTCCAAATCTATCCTCTATCCTACTCATTTTACCTAAAGAGCACAACTGTTGGATGATTATTTTTGTTTTATACTCTGGGATGACGTCCTTGACGATTGAGAGATAAAAACATGAAATGCTTTTAAAGATTCTTCTTGTCTTTAGTGCCATTATCCAGCTCTGAACCTCCCCCACACTCTTTATGTTCCCTCAGCAGCTTTTACCTGTCACAAACCACTCGTAGTCCCCCCAGGTCCACGTGGAGATGTTTAGAGCCGGAGGGCTGCAGAAGGAAACACAGAACCCTGAGTACAGTCTGACAGGAGCAGCTGACTGTGTTTCACCTGAACAGTTGAGCTCTCACCTGAAGTCTGTCTCCTGCTCCATCGTCCCGATTAGAAAGGGAACGTCGCTGTAAACTCCTTTATTCTCCCAAACCTCAAAAGAAGGAGCCTCCAGTACGTATCCGTCCACCACAGAGACGGCGCCGACAGAGCTTCCTCTGACGGGGAGGTCATCAAACCCGTCTGCGGCCCAGAACGGGTACTCATCCCACGGGATGGCCTGGAGAGAAACTCTTATTTTTAGACTCAAATGTTAGAGATGTGTTATCAAAGGTTTAGGAAGGCCAAATAGCATTTATGTTAAGAGTCAAATTAGGCAGTAGCATCTTTAACGTTTGGAAAAGGCTGAATTAGATAACACTCAAAAAAAAAAAAACAGAATGTGCTACATGTTCCACATAAATAAATCATAAATCCAGTCTCTCCTGTGTAAATGTGTCTCTGAGTCATGACTGTCTACAATGAGGGAGAAGCTCGAGTCCCGCTGGCTGTGTTGTTGTCAGAGCCGTGTTTACATGGACGGGACGGCCGGCTCCTCCCCTTGTGTATAAAAGTACTTTTAGTCAAGAACTAGAGAGAAGAAGAAGAACATACTCACTGATTATTTGGATGTTAGTAAGAGTTTTTAGATCGGCTCATTCTGTGTCAGTTTACATGCAACGTGAAGCTACAGGCTAACTAAAGAGCGCTAACATTAGCATGCTAACACAACAATGCAGGACACAGGAGATTGTAGCTCGAGCAGAGGACAATTATGTCCGCTGCTTGCACTTGACTAAATGGTGAAAACGGTAGGGGGGGGGGGGGGGTTGGAGGTGTGTCTCTGGAGGAGAGTGGAGGCTTCAGTGTGGAGGAGGGGGGGTTGGAGGTGTTTGTTTTGGTTTTATTCTGGCGCTCAAGAGCGACATCTACTGGATCAAAAAGTCGCACATTCTTCTCTTCATCTGCAAAAATCATCAAAATAACGAAAGACAAATAAGTTAACCAAAAATACTCTAATCTGATAATGTGTGTGTGTGTGTGTGTGTGTGTGTGTGTGTGTGTGTGTGTGTGTGTGTGTGTGTGTGTGTGTGTGTGTGTGTGTGTGTGTGTTAGTGTGTGTGTGTGTGTGTGTGTGTGTGCGTGCGTGTGTGTGTGTGTATGTTTGTGTGTGACTCTGTGCGTGTGTGTGTGTGAGTTAGTGTGTGTGTGTGTGTGTGTGTGTGTGTGTATGTTTGTGTGTGACTCTGTGCGTGTGTGTGTGTGTGTGTATCTGTGTGTGTGTGTGTGTGTGAGTTAGTGTGTGTGTGTGTGTGTGTGTGTGTGTGTGAGTTAGTGTGTGTGTGTGTGTGTGTGTGTGTGTGAGTTAATGTGTGTGTGTGTGTGTGTGTGTGTGTGTGTGTGTGTGTGTGTGTGTGTGAGTTAGTGTGTGTGTGTGTGTGTGCGTGTGTGTGTGAGTTAGTGTGTGTGTGTGTGTGTGTGAGTTAGTGTGTGTGTGTGTGTATCTGTGTGTGTGTGTGTGTGTGTGTGTGAGTTAGTGTGTGTGTGTGTGTGCGTGTGTGTGTGAGTTATTATGTGTGTGAGTTAATGTGTGTGTGTGTGTGTGTGTGTGTGTGTGTGTGTGTGTGTGTGTGAGTTATTATGTGTGTGTGAGTTAATGTGTGTGTGTGTGTGTGTGTGTGTGTATGTGTGTGCTCGTGTTAGTGTTAGTGTGTGTGTGTGTGTGTGTGAGTTAGTATGTGTGTGCGTGTGTGATAATAATTAAATGACAATAAAAAAGAGTGGATAAAAGAATGACAATGTTAAATCAATAATCAAGAGGATGGAGGGGGGCGGGGGGGAACGAGGGAGGAGAAAAATTTCAATAAATGAATAAAAATCAAAATACAGACAGTGAGTAAATATAAAGATGAATCTTTATCGTCTTTGTTCTCGTCTGTTGATGACTCGTTACAGATGATGTGTTTTGTCTAGACGGTTTCGTTGCTGTCGGCGAGAGAACAGCCTTTAAAAGAAACTTTTTATGTTTTATTTTATAAAGACGAGATAAAAAGAGAGTCAGCAGCGTGACGGAGCATCTTTTACACCCTGCATGTTTTCTACTCTTTTTAATTGTTCTCATGGTTTGAAGGATTTTGGATTAAATCACAAAGATCCACAGAAAACAAACAACCAAGTTCAATAACTCAGATTGAGTGTAAAAGAAAATACAGAGCTGTATACGTCAACTTTAAAGGAGATCTATTATCCCCTCTTTCACCATTAGTGATGTCACTATGGGACACCTGTTGAGGATGTTCACTCGTTGTGAGATTTGTAGCTCAAAAACCTCCATATTTGTGTGATACTGGCGTCAGTAAAATCCCACATTTCAGCCTCTGCCAGAAACGCTTCAATTCAGCTGCTGTCTCTTTAAGGCCCCGCCCTCCCCATGTGCCCACTCTCCTCTGATTGGCCAGCTCTGTTTGCAGTCGCAGGGAAATTTGAGAGAGAGCTTCCTGGTGGGCGTGTCCTACAACTTTGCTCCATGCTTCGCTCTGATATGTCGACAGAATCTGACATCAGGTTCAAACTAAGTCTCCAGGGATTACGTCAACAAATGAGTATCTTAAATTTAAAAAAACTTCAGAGAGGTTTAGAGCGGATATCCAACATCGTGACATTAAATGTATTTATTTAAATCTGGATCAGCAGAATAGATCTCCTTTAATTTGAAATCTAAAAAAAAATTAGTATTTGTATTTCCTAAATTTCTCTCTCTCGGGTTGGTCATTTTCTAAAACAAGCATGATTTTAAAAGTAGCATTCCCTCAGTGCTCCGTCTGCACCCACCCCCTCCCCCCTGTGCTCCCTCTAAAGCCCCGCCCCCTCACTTACATGCACGAGTGCCGTTGCTCCAGAAGCCGACCTCAGCTCATCTCTTGCATTGTGTAGAAACTACGTCGTCTCATGTCTCATTCAGCGGTCAGTAAACTCTCAGTATAAACTCCGACATCTGTGACGCGCTTTGAGTGTGAGCTAGAGCACGCAAGAGGTAGAGAGCGAGCAAGGAGACAGGGAGGCGCCTGATTGGTTCATCAGATTGGTACCTCGTGGCAGACATTTGTTGAAGTTTTTACAAACTTACAGCTGCTACAGATGATTGTTCCTTTTTCAGAGCACATGAGTTATTCATTTCTGTCAGGACCTAAAGACAATTTCAACCAAAATCTTAAAAAGTGGATCTGGAGGAAATTACCAAACCCTGCCTTTAAAGTATTTACGAACATCCACTTCATATTGAAGAGGCAAAAGACATAACCCGAAAATGAACTATCACAGTTTCATGAACTTCCTCTTGGCTCATTTTTATGGAGCAGATAGGAAAAAAAAATCAGCCCAGTAATCAACAAAAATTGTGCAAAATAAGGTTGATAAAAACAGGGCGATGCTGAATAAGATATTCAGACAAACTGTGGGCGTCGTCCTGAGTGACAGCTGCAGAAATGTTAAGTGACATTTAAAAATAAAAACAGCAGTCGGATACTTTACGATGACTGCTGCACTTATAAAAGTTCAGATTTTAACAACCTTTAAATACATTATTCATGGTTCATCCGGAGCTCCTGGGGAGACGTGTTGAATTTGACTCTGCAGAGGATTTTTTATTTCATCAATCGAAATGGGCTCTCCAAGTGAAGGTGTGGAGTTACAGCTGCAGATATCAGCCTGAAAATCTTTCTGTGAAGTCGAGAGTGTCATTTCCTTCATGAAGCGTCACATTAAAACGTTAAAATGAGACACATTCAGGAGCTTCAGCACCTGAGTGTGACATTATGATCCAAAGAGGGGGGAAAGCAATTAAAACAAAAGTATTTAAATGTCTCACTTTGTCGGAAAGTTGAGCCGCGAGTCACATTTTTTAGGAATGCCTCAAATATTAACGGGGACATTAAAGAGAATAACGACTGCACTGGATAGTTTGTGTTATTGGATTTCTTTAAACTGCACAGAAATGATCCTCTGGCTCAGAACGACTCCTAAACTCACGCCGTGGGGAGAGCACTGTGAGAGGATCTTTAGAAAAGCAGAAGAAATCTGAGAGACAAACTTCAGAAATTTAATATCCCACAAACTTAAGAGAAAGTTGGAGAGGAAAAAAGAGACTTGAGAAGAATCTTGAGGAAAATTCAGAGAAACTTGAGAAACCTTTAAAGAAAACACAGTAAGACCTGGAGAAAAACTGAAGAAGAAGTTAAGATAAACGAGAACCTTGAAAGAATCTTAAAGGAGCAATATGTAACTCTGACACCTAGTGTTTAAAGTACTGCCGTCCAAATTCAAAACATTAGAGAGAGCTGTCTCCCCCGGTCCCCTCCTCCGTTTATCTTGTATGTAGTGAGTGAGATGATAAAGTGAGCTTACTATCTGATCAGACATTAAGGAAACATGTTGAAGTGCTGGCTTCTCTGACAACAATACAGCAGCCAGTATGTCCTCCTTCTAACTTTAGATTCTGCTCCTGAATGCTCTGGATTTGTTTGGACCAGAGAAGGTAGGCGGTTTTAAGGCACCCCCCACACGGCCGTTTTGGACGCCCCTCGGTTAGCCAGACAGGTCTCTACAATGTTTATTATTTGGACTACAAGTACCCATTTTAAACATTAGGTGTCAGAGTTACATATTGCTCCTTTAAAGAAAGTTGGAATAAACTTGAACTAGAAACCTTGAAATAAGGTTGAGTGAAACGTGAGAGCAATTTAAGAGAAATTAGGGCAACGGTTAAGGTTAGGACAAACACTATAAGAAGCCAAAAAGAATTTCAAGAGATTTTCAAGAGAAATTTGGAAGAAGAAAATGTTTGGTACCTGCAGCATCTTTCTGACAGACAGACGTCTGAGGCAGGTCCGGTCTCTGCAGCCCGTCTTCCTCAGAAACACCAGGTTGTCTGACTCGGCTTGTTCCAGCGTCGCGTTGGTGACGTAAGAACCGCTCATGTCCACCGCAGCGTGGAAAAGACCCTTTGCCAGCGGTGACAACATCAGGACCTTCACTGAAGTGCCGCCTGCAGCCGAATCAGAGCGGGTGAAACATTTAACCACACTTTCTCTTTTTCTTTGAATAGCAGATGTCTAAGCTGCTCCGTACATGTTGTGGTGGTGACTGTGTCTGCAGAGACTCTGTCCTCTGACTGGATTTTACTGTTCTGCTTTGTTCTGGTTGACTCGGGATGTTTCCTCCAGCCAATGACAGCGCAGCAGGTGAGTTTAGGAGTGGCTACAATTCATACCTGAGCTCTGTCCAACTATGGTGACCCTCCCCGGATCTCCTCCGAACACATGGACGTTCCTCTGGACCCACTTCAGGGCGGCGATCTGGTCCATGAAGCCGTAGTTCCCTGTTGAAAACAAGCGGAGCAGAGGCGTCGATTATCAACAAGAACCCGCTTCTACATGACCTTGTTTCTGTCGTGTCCCATTTCCTCCGTAAGAAACCAAACCAGCTCCTGGCAGCTTGAACTAAATTTAACTCTTGTCAAGCCGAGGGAGCGAGGAAGTGGGCCGTGGAAATCAGGCGGGTTCAGAATAAGAAATGCGTCTCTGGGAGCGGGAAGAGGCCTCACGTGTCCTGTGCAATCACGCCATAATGTCATCATGCAAACTCTCTGATTTAACAGGTCACATCGCACATGGAAGGTCACAGGGAGGCGTTTTCATTATTATGTAACAGGAATTACACAGCCTGCATCACAACACACTAATTTTAGTGTGAGAGATACAAACATTGACACAGAGGAGGAGCTCAGACATCAGCTCCATTCCGCCGAATTGCATCACATTCATTAAGTATTCACATCTTTACGGAGAGGTAAAGACTTCTCTGCGATCAATCAGAGAGGAAGCACAAAGCAAACAACATCAATATTTGAACAGTCTGCTTAAGTGGTAAATAGTTTGGTTGAAAATGGCCACAGTGCCCATTATAACTTCTTTAAGGCTGCAACAGAAGCCGTTAAAAGCCTCCAAAGTCTGCACAACAGCTTTGTTTTCATTTCATGTCTCAACGCCAATGACAAATTGACAAATTAAAGGAGCAGTATGTAATTATGACCCCCTAGTGTTTAAAATGGGTACTGCAGTCTAAATTCTAAACATTGTAGAGAGCTGTCTCCCCCCCGCCCCCTCCTCTCTAGAGTTGATGCTCACGCAGGTCACCATGTGGTGGACACTGAAGCTTCAGTGTTTATCCAGCTCTGCATGGGTCTGTAAACGTTTCTGCGTTCTAACCTCTCTTCATTTTTCAAAAGCATCTCCAATATTGATCCTAGTTTGAGCACGTTTCTGCTCGTGGAACTTATTAGAAACATGCAGAGGCTTTTTAGGTCGAGCACAATCACTTCTATCTGAACCACTTCTCTTGCCCGCTTCCATCGCTGCAACACCTGTTGACCTGATAACTGCTCTCACATCTGGCAAACCGAGGGGTGTCCAAAACGGCTGTGTGGGGGAAGCCTTAAAACCACCAACATTCAGGACAGCCACAGACAGCACAATTATTGGAAATAAACGTGTGTGTTTCCTCTCAGTTTGTGTCTCAGACTGACCTGAGGTGTTTTTCGGAGAACCTTCTCTCAGGATCTCCAAAGCGAGGAACCCGAAGGCGTTGAGTCTGTAGTTAAAGCTGACGTAAACCATCCCCGTGTCCACAGCGAGCTTCTCAGTGGGCGAGTATAACGGCTCTCCTCCACTGAGCCCCATCAGCGATCCTCCGTGGATCCACACCATGACAGGCAGCTTGGCGTCCGGCTGCAGCGAAGGCGTCCACACGTTGATGAAGAGGCAGTCCTCCTGGCCCGTCAACTTCCCCGCGCTCGACATTGGAATCAACTGAGCGCACACACTGCGGAATCGGCCCGCGTCCGTCACCCCGCTCCTGCACACCGGATCAGCCGGCGGGGCCCAACGCAGGTCACCGACAGGCGGGGAAGCGTAGGGCATTCCCTTAAAGGAGAACGCTCCATTTTTCTGCAGCGAAAGATTGAAACAGTTCCAACAAATAAGCAGCAGATCATTTCTCATATTGTTGCTCGTTGATTTAGGCATTTCAGTTAAATAAAAATGTTGTAATTATCTGTTGATAAAGTAGATAAGGATGTGTTACCTCCTCAGTTTTCCTGCTCCATACCGAGGGAAACATTGGAAGGTTTAACTACTCGTGTCAAAGACTGCAAAGTGATTCAATCCCAAGTGAAATAAAACCAGTTTTCTAAAACTACTGCTGTGTTGTTGTGTTTATGTGTGAAACATGTTTTTTAATAATTATTACCCTTAAAGAAAAACTCCAGAGGGAAAAGAACTACAACCAGAGTCAGTAATCGGAGGATCTGAATGTTAAAGTCAATCTGTAAAGATTTCATCCTCCAGACTGCAGCCAAGCTCAGATCTGAGCCCGTGTTATTTCAAAAGCACGACCATTTTGCTGTTATTTCTGTAAAACATGCACTTAAATATTTAAACCTCTGCTGTCTTTGGGGGGAAATGAAAGCACAGCGGGGTGAAAATGAGGAAGAACGTTGAGTTTAGATGATTTCAACATTTGGTTGTTTTTTACAAGCCTGAACCTCCATGGCTGAACAAAAGGTTTAATTAGGGCCTGTGTTCACCTGGAGTGACAACTTCTATGCCTCTGGTCACTTCCTGTCTGCACCTCTGGTCACTTCCTGTCAGCACCTGTGTGTCCAATCAGACTTAAAGCTGTTCCTTTGCTGCTGTGGAGCGGCCTGCCTGAAGATGAGTGAGTCTAACTTGGTTCTCTTTGTCTTTTTGTTTTTTGGGACTTTAAAGTTTTTTGTTTTTATGTTTTGTAAAGCACTTTGTAACCTTTTTTCAAACTCACATGTCTTCCTCTGAACTCGCCGCAGTCCGTGGTCACCTGTGCGAGGCCGGGCGGCAGCGTCTGGGCCACGTAGCCCAGGTAGGCGGCGAGCGAGAGCAGAGCGAGCACGCCAACACAGATGAGGACGATGCAGCGTCTGGAGAGCACCAGCAGAGGGTTGATGTAGTGTCTGTGACGCACGTACTGCACCGCGTCCTCCTCGCCCTCCTCCTGCACCAGGTAGCGGTACTCGGTCCTCTCGGGGACCTCGAACACATCCTCATTCATCTTCGCTCTGAGACACAGGCCGCAGGAAACACAGTGAAAGGCTTTTTCTGAACAGACTTCTCCTTTGAACAATGTCTCTAAAAGCTCTTGGACCGCCTTAAAGGAACGGCCTGTGTGTTTGTTTAAAGACTGCTGTTTATATTTCATAACCTCAGAGTCATAACTATGTTGTGAATACAAGTTATCATCACTTTGTGAGATCGTTCTATCATAATACTATACAATATCATTATTTTTGCCAAGAGAACATGTAGTGAGCACTAGTTAGATGATGATAATGACGTTGTGTGTACAAGTTATTTTTAAAAGGCGTTTAAGTGAGAAGAGCTGAAACTTCAGGAGCTGCTCTGATTGGAAGATTTGAAGAGGATGTTAAAGGACTTCGGACACATCTGGCTGCAGATGTTCTCTCGATCTTGACAAACATTTGAGATTTATTTTATTGTGTATTTTAATTTCTTATGCTGCCTGTCTAGTCCAGGACAAACTTGAAAAAGAGATTTTTAATCACAACGAGTTTCTTTCCAGGTTAAATAAAATAAAATAATCTTATGTGCACTAATGAATATTGAAAATATTGAATATTACAACTTAATTAAACTACATATGATGTTACAAGCACAAGTGATCATCTAACTTGTGCTAACAAGTTTAATTTTGTTGTTTTTTTTACTTTTTGGGACTTCTAGGTCTCCGTAGTTAAATAAAAAATGATAATACTTTTAATTTAGTCGTTTTTTAAATAAATCAGGACCTTTAAATATTTAAATATCTATGCTCCTCTCTGTATAGTTTAGAGGGGGGTTGCTCACACACAAAAGGAAAAAGAGAAATGTGGAACAATAGGCGGATATAACGGAAAGTGTCGTTCATCTGTTACATTTTTATAAAGGTCGGTTTGTTGTCAGTCTGACGTCTCACAGTCAAATCTAAAGTTTTCACAGATAAACTATCAAATAAACCGGACTCAGTTCATTTTTCACTATATTAACTAAAAACATTCACGTCTCTTTACTTTATCTCGCTTTTCCTGCTCTTCCCTTTTTTTTTGAAACTTCCTTTTAACTGCACGGACTTTGTCTCCCGACCTGAAACACTTGAGATGAATCAATAATCTATAAAAACATGTTAAAAGACACTCACCATGTCCTGTAAACACACAAAAACACTGAAGGGAAAAACTACAAGAATCCAAAGTTGACGCATTTAGTTTACGGTGGGCGGAGTGCGCATGCGCTAATGGTTTTGTCTTTTTTTTTTTGTCTTTTTTTTTTTTAAAGGGACAGTACACCGAGTCTGTCAGTGGTGAGTATCTGATTTAAAAACAACAACGGTCAAGACCGCCACTGATAGGTGGTATTTTTTCACGTTATTACTTTGATTAGAAGGAAAACAATTCTTTCTAAAACAACAAATAACTTCAATTCATTTGTTGTTTGATTTGTATCCCCCGATTACTGAAGTGAGTAACACACTGCACAAAACATAATGATTTTTCAGTGATATTTATGGTCTTGGTCATGTCTAGGACTTTCCCCACCTTGGTCTTGGTCTTGATTTGGTCTTGATCCCTTAATGTCTTGGTCTCGTCTTGGTCTCATGACAACCTGTTTGGACATCGACTCTAGGGAAGAGGGGACAGAGGGGAGAGACAGCTCTCTCTAATGTTTTGAATTCAGACTGCAGTACCCATCTTAAACACTCTTTCTGTTATTTTAATGAATGATATAACATCTGAACGTGCCAACGCTTTAAAAACAAAAAAGGTGCTTAAAAAAAAAAGTTCTTAGAAGAGGAAGGAGTCCGTCAAAAATCACAACAACAGAAAAAACCTCTTGCTGTCTAAATTGCACCGTTGACAACCGTTTGGTCCAATTAAGACCGGGACCACAAGAAAGTTCCCAATAGTGGTTGTTTAGGACTTTTATTCATTGCCATGGTAACACAATAGGTAGCAAAATTGTTATTTTTTTACTAGTGACGTTTGTGACAGTCCTAACACCAAGAATACTTTGTTTCTAATTTGAGATATTATTTTATTTAACACAATAACTGATCATTTATTTAGTTGGAAACTTTATGTGTATAACAGTTTGATAATTAACTACAAACCCTCTGCTCAGCACATCTGCTCCTTTCCCACAGCTCGAGGTGCTTTAACGTCTCATTTAACCGCAGAGAAATCAAACCTGGCCCGGCTCATTGCTCAATTATCTACCTTGACTCTGTCGTGTACCGCGATCAATGACCAGAATCCATAATGAGCAGTGAGACGTTAGAACGAGCTCTGTCACAAACAGCTCTACAGAAAGCACATTAGCAGAATCCATCAGGGTCAATGCTGATGACGGCCTGCGTGCTCACAGTTAAATGTTTTCACTAATTGTTTGATCAGAGCGATGCATCGAGGCTCCGGAGGGGGCTGAGTTTCTGCCCCGTCAGCCATTTTACTCATCGATCTGCATCGCATGAGGAGAGACGCAGTGAGGGCTGTAAATATTTCACCACAAAGGGGAAGAATGGCTTCAGTTCTGCTGCTTCAGGGTCTTTTGTATCAGCAGGAAAAGTTAAAAAAAAGGGGTAGTTAGGGATCAGCAAGGGAGCATGCCTGTGTTTATTATAACACTGCAACAAAAATAGAATCAAATATTTTCTTGTTTCAAATGATTGAAAAATGCAGCAAAACTCCTTCCCACCGACTAAAATATAGGGGGTACTACGGGAATATGGGGTCTCTGTCCAAAGTGGAGGCTGTGTCTGCAACCTCTGCAAAAAGTCAGACACATTCCCTGTGTGTTGGCCTTCTCTCTGAACACTCATTTGCATCCATAACACAGAATGTGAGTAAGGATATCATTGTCTTCAGTCGAAAGACCCTGAGGTCGGTCGTCTATGATTCTCTCTCGCGGGGCGACGTAGGAGTTTTGGAGCCACGACCTCAGATATTACCACAAGTGATCATCTTTCGTCTGGGATGGTCCAAAATCGTACACTCTGTACCTGACTTAAAGGGGACATATTATGAAAAAAAATCCACTTTCACAGTGTTTTTTTTACATATAATTGGGTAACCTGAGTGTCTACTGACCCACAAAATGTGAAATAAACCCATCCAGTCTTTTGTTTGTGGTCTGCATAAGTCTTACAACACAGAGAACAATGCTCCATTTCAAATGTGCTCTTCTTGTGATGTCACAGTGGGATTCTGGTAAAAAAAAAAAAATCCCCTCCCCTCCCCTGGTATCTCCACCCATGGACTCCACCTCCAGCCTAGAACAAAACTTTTGCAGAGGTCCGCCATTTTTATTCTCGCTACAGAGGAGTGATGTCTACGGGGAAAACTCAGCAGGGGCTCATTTCATTTAAAGAGACACACACACCAAAACGGAGCGTTCTGAGAGAGCTGGTTTATACAGGGTCACAAACCTCCTCTGCTGCTTGATTCATGTTACATTTTGACCAAAGCACAGCACAGATGTTTCATTTAGACCACAGGGGGACTGTTTGAAAAGGTGGAGAAGGGGGGAGAATATGTCCTCTTTAAAAACATGAAGAAGCAGAAAAAGCAAACAAACTCCACTGCCCAGGAGGGGGCGTAATTCTTTTAGAAATGCAAGCATGTGTGTAAGCAGAGGCCCTCAATGTGGTCCAACTTGTAAATGATCACTGGCACTAGAGGTCCAGGACAGCATTAGCCTGAGGTGTTTTATGCAGTTGTATGTGTGTAATGTAAGTCTGTGAGCTTCTTCAGGCCTCGGACTGTGGAGTTTCCTGGCATTAACAGCTTCATGGAGCCGCTGTTTCAACTTTACACAGTCATTCTTGTTGTATAATAAACTCCCCCATTCTCCGTGAACATTGTATTTATCAGCTGCAGCGTTTCCCTTCTCAGTGTTTTGAGAGGCAAAAATGAATGATCGGTTTCAGTTTCACCCTGCTGGAGTTTATTAACACGCTCTCAGAATCTTGTTTACTCTCAGGCTGGAACATTCATCTGACGCCGCCAAGCCATCAGGCCAGAATTACACCGTGACTTATGAATGCGCGCGCGTGTGTGTGTGTGTGTGTGTGTGAGACTGTGTGTGTGGGCAACATCACATCTCAGAGAAAATGCAGCACGGCCATATTTTATTTTATTTCTCATTTTTTGCATTGAATTTATCGAGTAATCCTGAGAGAATTGCAACTTTTTTCTTTTTCCAACCATTTTCTCCAAGATTCATTGGAGGGGAGAATATGAACTTGAGCTTCTAGACTTCTGACAACTCAAAGCGCTTTCACACCGCAGGTCACACCTACACACTCACACACTGATGGCAGAGGCTGCTGTGTAAAGTGACCATCAGAAGTAACTAATCCATTCACACACATTCATACACCACCAACAAAGCAGTGGGAGCAACTTGGGGTTAAGTGTCTTGCTCAAGGACACATCAACATGTGGCTGCAGGAGCTGGGGATTGAACCCCCGACCTTCCGGCTAGAAGACAACCGACTCTACCAACTGAGAAAAAGCACATATATATAGAGCATAACTTATCCTTATCACTGTAGGGAAACTTCTGCCTCTTCAGTGAGCAGTGCACGACTAACGTCATCAAAATCAGTGTTTGTTACGACTCAAAAACCAGGTCTAAGTAAGTTTGAAACGAGCACTTTAGTGGTTTTAATGGTGCTCAATTGCCCCATTTGAACATTTCCTGAATGTACTTATGAGTCATTTAGACCCTAATCGTTTGACCCGGGGTTAAATATAGCAGAGTTTCTCTTTAACTCACTCACACTTCCTAACACTACATAAACACACCTTTCCTTTGTGTGTCACAATAACCACAGACATGCTTTTTGATTGACAGCTGGATCGGTGGGGGTGCAGAGCAGACACATCAAACAGGCGTCTGTTTCATTCCACCTGAGGCCTAAATAAAAATACTTTCCTGCAACAGATCTTTCCGCCCTGTCTGATGCAAACCGCTGAAATCACTGCGAAAATCTCACCAATGAACAAAAACAAACCACGGCGCTGACGAAGTCATTCTATTTCTGTCTCCTGATACATGTGAGGCAGAGCGCGCAAATACAACAGAACCATCTGATTCATTAATTTGATTGTTTTTTAGTTTTTTTTAGAGCCGAAAACTCGCCTCTCGGCAGCTCCAGATGGATGAGTCAGTTCTCTGTGTGCAGGCTGGGAGGAGGACAACAAAGAGAAGACGGCTTGTTGATAAGTGACTCGACAGGCAGTGACATGGAACGAGCTCCGAGTTCTGCCTGAAGACTCATTGTTGTTTAAAAACATTTGCACGCTCTCTCTCAATGATTCTTGAATGGACAACAGAGAAATCCAAGGGCTGAGATCCTGTTCAGCCATCGCTTTACTCTTTAGTGAAACCTTTGGAAATGCACCAGGACCTGGACCTGTGTTCTGAGCAAAGACATTCATATTGGATGTGCCCTTTGTATGGACAGGTATGAAGTGAAATTGAAATGTCAGTGCGTGTAGTTTGTTGGCTTTGTTGGGATTTATGACTCTTGGGATTTATGAACTGGGCCCAACACTAGACCCCAAAGTCTGGTACTTGGGTACCGTGCCAGAGTCCGCTTGAAGAGGCGGTCTAGGCTAGGGCACAGTTCATGTGTTTACTCGAGTACTGAACTCATCAGGGAAGTGGGCCGCAACATGATGTAATTCTAAACGGCTTCTGATGATTCAGAAACTGTTGTGTCCACCCAGAACGGGTTCCTCATCTGAGCTGCACGGTGGATGTGGAAGTAGGAATAGGGTGTTTGTTGGTGTCTCAGAAATGACAAAAACATCCACACTTAGCAGAATGGACTCCAAAATAAAGTCTAAAAAGAGTTTTCAAAAGGTCAAAAGTCTCAGCACTCACAAGGTCATCGATTTAAACAAAAAAACAAACACTTTCTAACAGAAATGTTCCCGTCAGTCTGTGCTGCAGGATCCTAAAAAACTCTTGAAGTGCAGAGATGCTAGCAGAGAGGCGTCCCCTCTGTGTGTGTCTGAGGGAAGGGTGAAGCAGGGGAACACAGCTGCTGCCCTGTTTGTCTGCAGCAAGCTGATTGCTAAAAGATACAAAACCAAAAAAATGTACATTTTCAGTCGCCCGAGGGTGCACAGCAGCGGAGCTGTGCTGCATCAGGACGTCTGACTCAGTGAAGCGGGATCAAAACGGAGTCAGCACGAGGACGACAGAAACATCAGCCCACTTCAAAGA